ATCACAGTATCAGCAGTATCAGCAATCTGCATCAGCATTTATTGATACCAGGTCTTGAAGGAATCTGCAATTTTGAGTCCTAACTTGAGTCACTGATTAAGTATTCTTCCGTGTATTTTTTCTACCTCTGTTCAATTTTACACATCCACATTTCCCTCAGTTCTCAGCGTCAGCAGCATCAAGTCATGGCTAACCGCGGAGCAATACTGCCTGGTAAAAGAGACTATTTTTCTTTTCATTTAAGCGTTTTCTCGCTTTTCCCCTTTCGCTCTAATGACCCTACCCTATTTCTTTACCGTGTAGGTTCTCTAATCATCTACATTACCTCTCAAACTATTTTATACTTAGGGTGATTCGTCAAGCTGAAGTGACATGGTCGAACTGGCATGTGATATATAGCATTGATTAGGTCAAAAATCTCTACAGATTTTGAATTTTTAGCAAAAAAAAAAAAAGGATGGTAACCCCTGCGCAGGAGCCCAAAGAATCATTCTGAACCCAAAAATTGGCAACATTCAGAGAAATGAAAGCAGAATAGTGTTTAGAAAAAAACCTCGCATTCTACACAGAATCGAATGCGAGGTTTTTTTCTAAACACTATTCTGCTTTCATTTCTCTGAATTTGGCAATTTTTGGATTTAGAGTAACTGTTTAAGGTCATACGCTCTTTAAGGTCTATACACTCAAAATACGTCATTTTTCATATCGCAACCAATCAGGCACTTTGAAACAGTGGCGTTCGATTATCCTAGTGCAAAATAACCTTTGTAATAAGTTTTAGACCATTGGTACAATCATTATTAGAAAAACAAAAGTTAGTTTCTCAATTTGTCGTTATAATCCATTTTTGTTATACTTAGTTTATTATCTTCTTCTTTTTTTGTTCTGTTTTTGTAACTGACTGCCTTCCGCACAAGCTTATCTAGGGGTCAGTGCTTTGTATTTTTCCTTTCTTGTATTTTGTCAATAAATCATTCATTCAATTTGAATGATGTAACACAGTTGCATTATCAACGTCTTTTTGAATTTATGACTGGATGTTTTTTGTCTTGCAGTAACAGAAAACCCTCTCGGCTTATCATGGCATGATAGTGCTTGGATAACCATCCTGAATCCAGCCAATGTTCTTGACTACTTTTCCGAGAGATCAAATCCATTTTATGATCGCACCTGCAATAATGAAATTGTTAAAATGCAACGGCTTTCATTGGATCAGCTCACGTAAGTATTGTCTATTTCTGCTCTCAGATGCCAAGAAAAGATGCCTCAACTGAATCTATATTATTTTTATCAACAAATTCAATAATACTTATGGTGAAAAGTTAAAAAAATAGCTAACAATTCTAAGCTTGATGCGGATTAATATCAAGAGTAAAGCAAAACCTTTGTTGCAGGGACTGTTATGTAAGTATGACAGTCTCATGTTCAGTACATTGAATTCTGCTTGAATTGGAGGGTTAGTAACCATCTCGACGGTGAAACTACCAGACCAAGTATCTCTATTTGCGATGTTGTAGACTTCCTGTCTTACTTAATTTTTATACATGAAAACCGTCGAACATTAATTTTTTAAAACTTCTTTAATTTTTCTCCTCCTCGCAGAGAAAACTCTGTGAAAACTTGAAGGAATGAAATTGATTTGTTCTCTGTCAAAAGAAATAAAATGGGAGCAGAGATTTTTAAATACCGCTAACAAGATACATGGTCTGGTAGTTTTACCGTTGATATGTGGTTATATTTGTTCATTGTTCTCTTCCCCAGGAATTAAAGGTAGGATAAAGAAGAGGAAAGAAAGAAAAAGGAAGAGAAAGAAAGATGGGAGAAGAAAATATATTAGGAGAGTAATATAAGTATCCTCAGAACAACTAGTGTATATAGCTACAATATCTCCAGGGCCAGACCAGTTAAATAGTATTATGACAAAAGTAAAATTATTGTGTTTTTTCATCATTTTTTAAACAGAATTCTCTCCTCCTTCCTCCACTCAACAGACACTCAGACAAAAACAATTAGGAAAGAATCACATTGTTCTTTAATGGTTTACATTTATGTAACTTTATTGATCTCTGCTGTTACTGTTTTTATCAGGAGCATGACAGGACTAGAATACATTTTACTGCATGTTCAAGAACCTATTTTGTATGTTGTCCGTAAACAACACCGTCATTCTCCGACACAAGCAACTCCTTTGGCAGATTACTACATCATCGCGGGGACAGTGTATCAAGCGCCAGACTTAGCATCAGTGGTCAACTCAAGAATTGTAAGTGAGGCATTCTAGTGTTATTTCATATCACAGAGAGAAATCAATATCATTCTCCATAGGTATCAAAGAAAATCAGAACTTCTGCCTTTGAGTTCTCTAGTCTTAGATTTCTTAAATTTTAAGAGACTTTGCGCTAAAAGGACCCTGTTCACAGATCTGGAACGTACATTCCAGATCTTTTACTATGTATTGGCAAAAAGTTCAGATTTGTTTTCTCCTAGGAGAAAAGGTCCCTTTACACAATTCCACCCACATATACTTAGTTAAACTTAGAAGCTACACACATCAATTACAAGGTTCCAAAATTTCCTGACTCTCCCGGATTTTTTTTTTTAACATAAAATTCCTACACTTTCATGACTGTTCAATGTTATTTTCTTGGTATTCCTAATTTCTCAGGAAAGTACTGAGAATAATAAAAAGACCCCGCACACCTCTCATGGGAAAGTGCACCATGATGGATCCTTAACTTTTTTATGGCATTTGATTCTCCTCAAGATGCTGATCAAAAGTTATCTTTACGCCAACTTCCTACGATGCACCGTTTTTGCAAAAAACGACCGAGAAGATTCAATTATTCAGTGACATTGAATCAAAAAGAGCAAAGCATTTGATTTAGAGACACGGGGAAGAGGTGAATAGGGTGGGAGAGAGAGAGAAACTGATTTGGATGGTCGAGCAAAACAGCGTGCGGAATCCAAGATAAGACTGCCGCTCAGTGCTGGAGTTCCCCTAATTTCCTTGTTGACACACAGCCGACCGTTCACTCAAGTGCTGAAATGAGGAATCTTTCTGGCTCTTCATCGCGGAATAATTGAATCTTCTGGGTCGTTTTTTGCAAAAACGGTGCATCGTAGGAAGTTGGCGTAAAGATAACTTTTGATCAGCATCTTGAGGAGAATCGAATGCCATAAAAAATTTAAGGATCCATTGTGGTGCACTTTCCCATAAGAGGTGTGCGGGGTCTTTTTATTATCCAAAGTACTTTCCTGAGAAATTAGGAACACCAAGAAAAAAACATTGAACAGTCATGAAAGTGTAGGAATTTTATGTTAAAAAAAAAAAACCCGGGAAAGTCAGGAAATTTTGGAACCTTGTAATTGATGTGTGTAGCTTCTAAGTTTAACTAAGTATATGTAGCTGGAATTGTGTAAAGGGACCTTTTCTCCCAGGAGAAAACTAATCTGAACTTTTTGCCAATACATAGTAGAAGATCTGGAACGTAAGTTCAACACTAAAATCTCAAAAATTAAAGAAGATGTCAGTCCTGAAGTTCCATCATAAAAATTCTTAGGTTGTAGAAAAACGCAGTTCAAATGTTTGCGAAAAGTTGAGGAAAATTTTCTCCTAAAAGGTAAGGTCCCTTTTCACAGCTGTCGCATTTAAATTTCTTCTTTACAATATATTAACATTACAGTTGTTTTTGATAATATGTAGCAGGCTCATGGTTCACTATCTATCCTTGTATTTTGGTTTACAGTGATGCAATTTTAATGTCACATGTTACTTTTCTGAGGAAGGCCTGATCATCATTTTTGTACAAAATTCAATTTGCTTTGTTCTTTCAATATTATTCTCTGAAACTTTCAAGCAGTATTCTTGTGACATAATAAATTATGAACGGAAATTTTCAAACGCAGTCCAACAAACATTGTGCTGAGTTCCACAGTCAAGAAACACTGGGAAGTTTGAGGAAATTCTGTGAAAGTAAGAGAAAACTGGGAAATATCAAGGGAAATGACGATAGTATCAGGAAAAACTGTTAAATTCCACCTTAATTGCATTCCAGAGTGGGTTTAACGTTTCCAACATCAAATTTTGTGAGAAAACTCATTCAAATTATGTACTTTCAACCATCTGGCATTTACTCAATTGTCAGGGAATTTTGAGAAAGGTCAGGGATTACAATTTTCTGAATTCTGTCGCAATCCTGACTGTGTTCGAGATCTGCGATTTTGCAAAGTCACCATCGGCTCTCTAACTAACTTTGATCATCATTTGTTTCCCATCAGTTGTCATCAGTACATCATTTGCAGTCAGCGTTTGAAGAGATGTCATCATACACGAAATATCATCCAAGCAAAGGCTATACATGGGACATGAAGTCTGGAGCAGCAGCTGCCCCTCAGAAGAAGGATATTCCAGCCAAAGAGGAGGCTAGTTCAATATTCCAGCGGCAGAGAGTGGATATGCTCTTGGGTGAACTTGTTAAAAAATTTGCTCCACCTCCAATGGTCAAACCCCAACAACCTGAAAGTAACTATAACTCCAACTTCTTTCTGATTTTGTATTAAATATATTTTTAACAAAATTTGCACCTTCCAAATATGACTCACTAAATACAAAAAGGGCACATGTCCAGAAAACCAAATTGTTCAGGAGACACAAAAAACTGTTTATTTCGTGGTAGATATTTTTTGGAAAGTCGTTATGTTTAAAAAAACCGGCGTTCGGCTTCGCTCCGCGCAGGTTTTTTTAAACATAACGACTTTCCAAAAAATATCTACCACGAAATAAACAGTTTTTTGTGTCTCCTGAACAATTTGGTTTTCTGGACATGTGCCCTTTTTGTATTTAGTGATTCATATGTAAGTCTCGCAGTTTACTGTTCACCACCCAATCGAGGCACTGGAAGCGAAAAAGGCACTTCTCGGTTGCAATGTTTCAGAGTCTCCTCTAATATTTCATTCATTGTAAGGAAACGGAATGCATCCATTTCACTAAAAAACTCACTGAATATTCTTTATGATTCTACAATTTTCTTTGGAAAGAATTCTGGACAAATTACCCATTATAATCTTCTTCAAGGGATTAATTAGCAACAGAGATTTTGAAACACCGCAATCAGGAAGTGCCCTTTTCTCATCCAGTGCCTTAAGTAACATCCTCCAGGTACCCTTTGGTTCAATTTTCCCCAACATTCAATGCAAATACATATTGTTGCCCTCTAGAAAAAATATCCAAGCGCCTTTATTACCGAAATTGAGTTATCAATGGCTTGAAAAGATGCCTCACATTTTAAGAGAAAATTTGACCATTTCATCATATTGAGTTTTTTAATGATCAACCTTAGAGAATCTAATTTTTCCAAATTTTACTTACATTTAGCTCAAGGCAGTTCAGTTTTCTCAATTTGATTGTCAACATTTTTGATGAGGATGTTTTGCAACTGGAAACTTTTCAATGAATCTCATGTTACATATTTATAGTCGGTAAAAACTTGCCTGTTCTTGTATCCTTGGTTGCATAATGTTCACTCACATTTGAGAATTTTCATTTGCGGATTAGTTTCATCCCCTCCTCTTTAAAATCTACGGATTCCAAGAAAATGTAACATTTTTACCTTAAAACCCCACTGAGCGCTGACTACTTTTTCAATACCCAAATATTAGAGCTTTCTACTCATTCTTCATATTCAGAGTTTAATCTCTCCCTTATTGTTCCAGGTGAAGTGAAAACGGAAGTCAAAGAAATAAAAACTGAGAAACAAGATATGAAACCTCCTCCTGACAAAAAACAGAGGACTTCTTAACTTGATTGTCATCTTATCAATGGTATTTTTGTTGAATAGTTTTCGAGAGCAGTAAAGAATCTACACAAAAATTTGATCACAAGATAATTTGGCAATGTCTTTGCATGGTGTTTTAGGTCAAAAATTACATACCTCCATCACAAAATTTCGTAATTTCTGCTTTTCTCTTCATTTCTGTCTGTGTTAGCTTATTAATCCTAAAAATTAATGAGTCATTTCTTTTTCCTTTCTCATTAATAGCTAACATAGTACCTGTTTTACAGTTCAGGATTTAAAATTGGATGGCAGTAATTATTTTACTGCAGTAAAGATCTTTGTTTTTCCCCTTTCCAGCATCAATATTTTTCTAAAGAAAATGTAATTCAGGCTCTATCAAATTATAACTGAGCATCTAGTGCTGTGAGGGCACATCTTGCGTTGCCTTGTTTTTAGGTATGAAGCATGAGCATTGCACCACCAGACGAGGTCTGAGCTGGAGAAATGTCAGCATGAAAGGTGGATAACATGAAATGAAAACGGCTGGATAACGTATGAAATTTCTAGGAAATATTTGTAGATAGGCAAAGATCACTAAACTTATGCAGAATCGCCCAAACTAGAAAGTTAGTTTCCCTTATTCAAATGTATGATTAAAAATTGAATTTGCCAAACAAGAGTTGGATCTTAGGTAGAATGTTTTGGTTGAGCTAGGAATGATACCACTGATTTTCCTTTTCTCAGAACGGAATCATAGTGAGTACATATCTGTGATGTAGCATTTTGATTTTACAGGATAGACACAGGGCATTTATGCTCAATTTGTTCATTTTTATGTGATGCATCAGTGATCGAAGGAAAATCCGTATGTCAAGTTAATAAATGTTAATTGAAAATGGAAGATCTTGATGCAATTACAATTTTCAAAAGAGGTAATAAATACAGCAGAAGGACGACAATCTGCAATCACTAATTTCTATTTTTGGCTCATTTTAGAAACGAAATATGTGTCATTATTTTCCTAGTGCAAATAGGTGCTTTCTTATATGAGATAAAAATTGCAGTTTCTTGTTGCAAAATGCAGTCTGAAGTTCAAAGTAGCATCAAGATTTCTTTATTTCCAATATATATCATTCTTAACTTGCTTACTGTGAACCACCGATGGAAAGCTTTTGAAACTGAACAATCCAACCTTTGAGGTTACTTTCCAAGATCAAATAATGGAATTTAGGCTGAAATAACGTATTCCACCAAAACATCAAATGATAGTTTTCAGATCCATTTTAACAATTTTCTTAAAATTCATCTTTCGTTTGGACTAACATCGCTTGTTTTGAATTTGTGCCCAAGAATTTTTATTTGTAAATATGTAGACTGAATACAATCAATAAAATGTTAAGTTTCAACATGTTTTTTCCATTTTTTGTATTTCCTCATTGAAAAAAAACCTCTGTATCAATTAACTTTTATAATCATTGCGGCTTTGCAAAGGCATGTAAAAGGGTTTGTTTTGACTTTCACTAGAATGAAACACTGTTCTTCGAAAATTCGGGGAAAACTGATGCTCATTGATCCCCTACATACTTTAGAATGGGGATTCAAAATTTAAGCATGACAGAGCCTCTCTATGATTTGGAGAAACTCTAGAGAGCTTGTGCAGCTGAATTTTCAGGGGTGATGTAAGCAAGAGCTTTGGCCGTAGTTGTTGTTTCAATATTTGAAAGCGATTTTTCATGAACTTTTTTTGGGGAGGTAAATACTTAATGAAAGGGGCATTTGGGATGGGATGAAGTTTTCCCAATAATTTCAATCGCACAATTTCTGCTTTGTGTCGCCTGGCAACACAGGTTGCAGCATTTCTTTAAAGAGGCAATTTATTTTTTTGCCAGCGCAATATTCTGACAACATTTCTATTGCCATTGACTCATCAGAATTATCAAACTGGATTGTAATACGCTTATTGCGACAATACCAATAATCCAATACAGGCCAAGTTTTAATGATCCAATTCTTGGCCACCTGTATAATTAGAAATCAGGGGATTCCTTGCTGCTAAGCGATTGGGCTCAGAAATTGTACGCATTCATTATTTGGTCTCAGACTCAAATTGAGAAAGAGCAAAACTCTATAAAATGAGAGTTTATACAGTTTTAGAAAAATATACATCTTGCACCTGAGAGTATGAGATTCAACCTTTAGGGTTTGATTTACGTATTTTTTTTCAAAAATCAAGTCCTGCAGAAATTAAACGCAGCTTTTCGAAGTAACTCTCAGAGATTTTGTAATTTCCAATCAACTTTGTGGAAACTTGATAGCATACAATAGACCTATAAAAAAGGAAGTTTGAACCAACTGTTAGTCAAATTTCAAGAAATAACAGAACGATTCCTGCTACCGCAGCGATTCAACAATTAATTCATAGACATCAAAACCTCATACTAAAACTGGAGTTTGAAACTCTTGCTGGTATGTAAATTTACATGAATCTAGCCAAATAAATAGGATAGAGCTAGCAGAGTCTAGCCTCACCCATGCCTCTCAAGTTTTCAAATTTTTCAACATCGACTGAATCCTGGAGCTGTATGTGAATCTAGATTGGTGTGAATTTAAGTGCAGGCAACTATTTAAAACTGCAGCGATTCAATCTCCTTTTTAACAACTATTCTGTTGACAGTGGAAATTATAAGACAGGGTGACAGGTTCCCTAGGTGCTAGGATAAGACAATAAAAACAATTAAGAAGTAGACTAAAATATTCTGTATTTTTAATAGATGAAAAATCATGAAATGTGACGATTTCATATTATGGCAAAGGAGTACCTTAAAAACGGTATTTTCTCAGCAATAATGATTGAAAGTTCTTGACAGAGTAAACACTAATTAACAAAAACAGTCTTATATAAATCTAATAACTATCATTTACAATGAGGGGGAAATTATGATATAATGCATGGTGTATAAATATGAAAAGTATGGAGAGGTTTAAATTCACTCTTAAGCGTCAGAGATAACGTTTTTGTCGAATGATTGAAAGTCGTTTTGAGAATAGAAGACTGTAAGAGTTACAAAGTACAAAGAGTTAAATAAATTACAGAGAGATATAGAGAAAAAGACAATTTTTAGGTTGGCTAAAATCGCTAAAATCTTCAGATATCCAGAATTTTTTCAGGAGTGAAACACAAGTACAAAAGAAAAAAAAAATACATTTTGTAAAAAATTTCCTGAGAAAAAAATTCACTTAGTGATACCTGCCAAAGTGGAAGATGTAGCAAAAGGGTCAGCACTGATTTTTCATAGATTCAGGTCTGACAGGCACGAAACAACTGACTTAAAGATGTCTGTGAAGACAAAACAGCACAAGGTAGGTAGAAATTTTTGATAAATATTCCTCCTCACACAAAATAAGATAAGAATAATTTGCTCTTACTCCAGGCGATACAGCTACTTACGATTGAGGCAGATCATTTCATAACCGCAGTAGTAGTGTCAAGATGCTGTCTCTTTGCATCCAGTCTGCAAAGGATTATTCAGAAGTTATTCTCTTCTGTTAAGTGCCTCGTTGCCCCTTATCAAGGAAAAGTTTAATGATTGAAGTTTAGAGTTGCAAAGACTGTCTTTTTGATAGCCAATACTACGGGCCAGAGTAATGACACCGAAACAAACAGTTCTCAATAAAACAGTTATTTAGTACACAGCAATTATTTAAAACATTCAAGAAAAGAGCACCAACTGTCGAACTACATGACATTAGGAAAAGTCTTCTTTCTTTTCCAAAATCTATTCAATATTTCTCTGCCTATACAATAGCAATGCTTAGGGATGTTTTTTTAATACATGTATCCATAACTAAGCTAGAGATTGATCTTGCTGATTCGATTTTTCCACTTTTTTATTGTATCTGAATTTTGATATTCTAAAATTTCCGCTTCTTTTTCATTTACTCGAGGGAGATGAAAAAACTTTAATAGTTGAAAGTTTTGAGAAACTAAGTTCAGTAGTTTTTCGATTGAAGGATGAAGAATGACAGGAAGTCTGCAAACTTAGAAACCGAGATATATGAATGGTTTCAAAGTTTCCTCACTGATGTGCTTCTTTCATCAATTATACTAAACACTTCCCTCTGACAAAAGCAAAGAAATACAACTATTGAAAAGAGAAGAACAGCTATTTCTAAGTTATTATTTCCAAAATCAACGGAGACATTTGTTCAAGAGAAAAAAGGGCAAGAAAGGCATTTGATGATCCTACCTGGCTCCCAAACTGGAGTCTGAGCATTGGGCTTCTACAAATTTGTTCCTTTTAGAATAAAATTATCCATTTTAACATAAAAAAAAAACATACAATGTCCTCTATTTTGTAACTCTTACAGTTTGTATTTGTGAATTCGATAGTTATGATGAAAAGAAACCTCTGCCTAAAAACATTCTCCTTTTCAAACATCATTTAAAAAAGAATAACAATAATAAATACTCATTTAAAATAATATGAACAGACCCAGTTGATGAGACTCCCTTACTATAATAAAGTAATCTTACACTTAAAAGATTTTTAGGAACTTCAAAATAGACAGGATAATAATGCTGTCTGACATATGTACCACCTTCATCTTCATTACTAATTGTTAGTAATCCACGAGGTATGAATCTGTTTGAAAATACAACCAAGCGACTTGAGAGGAAATTCGTTTTGACTGCGTGGGGCCTTCATTGTGATTTGATATTTTTTTCTTTCGAGAAAATCCCTTTGCAATGACGGTTAAAATGTTTCAGGGAGTTTAAAGCTGAGCACTCAGTTCTGCATCAGTCTGTTTTTAAGTCTGTAATGGACATGCATTGAAAAAAAAGAGAGGGAGAGAGAAAATTAAATATTTGAATAGAAAAAAGAACAAGGCTTTGGGATTCAACAGTCAAATCAACATAATGAAACATAATTTTGAGGGCTATATATCCTTAAATTTTCCTCCTTCTGAAAACAAAAAAAATTCTGAAGGAGAGGTATCACATATTTGAACACTCTTTATTAAGTGTCTTAAGTATTTACTAGAAAACACCACAAAAACATTGAGCAATTTCAGTCCAGGGATGCCACTCAAAAAAATAAATACATAGACAATTAAATCAATAAAAAAAAAGTTTCTGAAGATTTAACATTCAAAGTTTTCAATTTTTCCTAGGCCGGAGGATTCAGTTTTTACAGTATGGTCCTGTAACAGATAACCATGTTGCAGATTTTTTGAGTGGCATCACTGATATCAGAATTAAGTTCTAACTAATGAGGTTGACTTCAAGCATTTGAAGTATTGTTCTAGAGTTAAGTGACCATATAATGACTTAGGTGAGCCCCCAAAAATAGTTTCTTACAAGCATTAAAGGCTGAAAAAGGTCTGGTGCCTTTCTAATACTTTATACACAAGCTCAATAAATAATTAATAAATAGTAATTTAAACAATGATTCACAGCATTTCAAGTCTTTGAACTCATTCGTTGCCATTTTCTGAGTCGCACAAGGAGCTAAGCATGTTGTCGTATTCTTGCAGATTTGATTCAAAAACCTTGAGCTGACTGGCGAGGTCTCCAACTTGCTCAGCCACAGTGGGTTCCTCACAGCACCCATGCAATGGAGGGGCAGTCTGACACTCCTTGTAGAATAATCCCAAGTCTGAATTAGCATTTGAACCGGCAAAAGGCGTTTTCTGAAAAGAAGAAATAATGCAAAATTTTAATTTACTCATTGCAAAGAAAAGGTCAAAATCTTAAATTAAGAAGGTTCTGTGATACATCATCGGTTTTAATTACTTTACATATTTTTCCGAGGGATGAATCAGGTCTGATTTAACGAAACAATTTGTAACAGAATTCTAATTGTTGATGCATTTACAGAGTAGGTAGATAAACCAAACAAGATGCTTCCACCTTCAAGTCTCTCCTTTATCAACTTCAAAAGTTTAAATATCTAATACTTGAATCAATATCGAAAATTGAAACCCCCCAGGTAACGCTTTATGTTCTTAGAGGGAAGAAAAGAAATAGGGGTCACAGAAATTTTTAAGAAAAACCAGTATAGGAGATGTCACAGCTATTTTTGATTTCTTTAAATTAAAAATAGACTAGTGACTCGATTTGTCCGGCTACATATTATACTGATCCAGTTTTGCATTGGAAAGATCCATTGAAAAAAACTTCATGAGGAGATGGGTTTAAGGTGACAGAACTTTTTATTCTGAACTACATAAACGCAACTTTACATGCTTAGAGTTTAAGAACTTATTTATTTCTGATTTTGGAGTATCCTCGATGTTTATAACTTGAAAAAGCTAAGCAGACAACATGCATTCACATACATTGCCTTTCAAATTTGTTTCTCTCTTGTGATACTACTTGTAAACCTTTGATACAAGTTTCTTGTAAGAAAAAACTTATCAGGAAATTTTAAAAATAAATTATATTAATGATAGATGATGCATTAAAAATGAAACAATTTCTTAAAAAATTAATGAGATGTGAGGAAGACAGAAAGTTTTAACGGGTGATCTTTTTACTATGTTATTAGTGATTTGCACTGTCTTCAATTAGTGATCTGCCACCAATGAAAACACATGGTCAGTGGGTCTAAAGATACTTTTTTTTCTAAAAAAAAAAAAAAAAAAAAAAAAAAAAAAAAAAAAAAAACCCGTTCAAGTTTTAAAAGTTCAACATATTTCTCCAAAATAGAACAGAACTTTCGAAACATAAAATTAAAAAGGCATTTAAAAAAATCACTACAGATTAAACTTGTAATAGAAGCTCTGTGGCTGATCACATATACGTGACAGGACTTAAGAACGATATACCTCAATAGCAATATTTTAAACTTTTCACCCATAATTCATTTTTTATAGGTTCAAGAAGACAAAATTCAGGAATTTCTGGCTTGAAATTTATACAGAAAGATCATGGAATAGGAGAAAAAAATACTCGTTTCAGGAATTTAGCTATCTTAATATTGATTTTGGTAGTAGAGATAATGACCTTTGAGAACCCGATGATTTGAATAGCTCATGCAATCAAGTTAAAAGCTCTTGATGAGATTGAGTCTTACTTAATAAGTTAGTAAATGAGCGTATTAATTACCAAATCTACCAAAATAAAATCCTCATTTATCGAACTGGACGTGCATCTAGTTGTTGTGATGTTGCCATTGTCAGAGTCTTCTTTTCGTTCGACAGAGGATGCCGGCGGGGTGCTACTTGTGTTCAACGTTCTGTTCACCGGCGAGTTTTGATTTAGAATTGAGGACAGAATGTCTCCTGTTGGCGACGAGGGTGATTGTTGGGTTGGATACCTCGATGTCAGCAAGCTACTGAATGGCACATCAGGGAAAACGAGGTTTGCGTCGCTTGGCGCCAGAGAGGTTTTTCTGCTGTCAGCAAACGCACCCACTTTAATTGTTTCACTCAAAGAGGAGGTTAAGTCATCACTGAAAATCATAAATAATCCATGAGTAAAATCTTACATACAAGAAAGAAGGGACAAATCGATAAAAGAACATTTTCTAGCCATAAACTCAGAAGAAGAGGACACAATGTTTCTTCACTTAATTCCTTTTTAAATCTGTAGACATTACTTTTTTTCCAAAAAAAATTCTAAGCTATGTTGCTAAGTTGTGGTGGCATGGCAAGCATTAAATTTAAAAATGATTTGATCTCTTCAGCTAAGTTGAAAACTTGTGAACATTTTCATTCTTTATGATGTGGATTAACCACATAAACCATAAACTCAGCTAAACTGGCTAAAGATTGGTGCTTTCAAGCAATTCCCAAGAGGCCTGAACTGATAACAAGAAACAAGAAAGCAGGCACTTACTAAAGCTTCTAGTTTTCATCTCTTCTCAGTGCTGTCCTGAATATTTTTCATAACTGAAAACCATAACAAGAATACATTGACTCTTTTATTATAATGTTATACCTAGATGTAATAAAAAAAATACTCCATCAGAGACAATACTCACTCTTTTATATTCTGACGTTTCACCTTAAATCTTCACATAAACTGTTTTTGACTCATGACTTTAAAATTGTAACCTATTAGACACACTGATAAACCTCAAAACGCATTTAACCTGAAGTGAGGATAGGGTAAGCGGAATACTCACATTTGAGAGCGTACATTCTTGGGACCATTGTCTGGCCTGAAGTGGTCACTTTTCAACATGATAGAGTTATCTTTACTAGATGGTTGTGGAGAAATGGTCATTTTCGTTCGGTATGAAACTGACACTTGTAATGTCCCGATGGGAGTGCTTAATTGTCCTACTTTCACTTGATTATATCCTTCACCTGCAAAAAATATACAAGAGATTGAAAAAATTAGTTTACAATGTAAAAAAGAAATAAAATCCAATTCTTTTTCAATTCAAGTCCTTGATTGCGTCAGAAATGAGTACCTATAATTGAAAACGTTCAACGTCCCGTGTGTGTGCCCATGAAATTTTTCAAAAAGTATAAAATTTTAATTGCAGACGGCGTTGTTTCTCAGTGGCAGGCAATGATCCTCCTCTCCACATTTTTCTTTTTAAACCATTCATTTCAGTTCTAATTATAGTAATTTAAAAGTTTACTGGCGAATTTTGGCTTTGAAATTCTTTATATTTGTACTTGACGTTTAAATTTTCTTTAATTGCCTTCATGATGCTCTTGTTCTTTTTCAATAACCTGTGTTTAAAGCTGAAATTTTTTATGTTTTCCATGTATGTTTTCTCTCGTTCATTTCTGTAGATGTGAGGCAGCATATCAAAATGAGTCTAATGATGGAAACAGGAAACGTACATAGAAAAAAGCAGTTATGGGGTGAAAAATATAAATTTCAAGTTTTCGATGCTGAACATTTTCTAATACTCTCAAGAACATTGGGTCTAAGTTTCCAGCCACTATTTGCAATTTTTGATGTTAAGCAGTTGAAGTTAATCGTTTCTAAGACTAATAGCAACATCGGAGCAACTTGCAGCTCAGTCTTCCGTCTTCGAACTTTGGACAGCTGTCAAAAGGTCTGTTTTAGGAATATTTGGGTGTTCTTTGATGCAGCAGTTATGTAGAATTCTGCATCAATGTAGAAATGTTTGATGCTGCATCATCAGAATTCTGCATTTTTCTTTTTTCGGACGTGATATTAACTCTCTCTTTCATTTCGCACCTTCGTAGTGTTTCTAATTTTTTTCAATTTTTAAATTCCCTGCGTTTTCCCTGATAGATTTCATAAAATAACTCTGTGCAACTCGTTCTTCACAGAGGTGTAACACAATCATGAGTTTGTGGAACTAATTCGTTCAAACTGTGCTCATGAGGACAAGGCCTTAAGAGTTAACGTCAAATTCCCTAAATTTTTCCCATAGCAGAAACCCTGCTTGAGGAATCTTGTGTCATGTTTCACCACAAATCACTAATACACACGGAAAAAAATAAGTTGAAGATTTAACAATTCAATTGCTAAAAAATAAAAATAAAAAAATAACAGCGATGTTCCAACGTAGATTTTACAACAAAAAAATGCTACTTTAACAACTCCCGTGGATAAATTAGCCTACAATAGTGGTTAGAGCAGCATTTTTTTGTTGTAAAATCTACGTTGAAACGTTGCAGTCACTTTTTTAGCAATTGAATTGTCAAATCAGAAATTTAATTTTTTCCGTGTGGGTAGAACACAAGAAAAGACATTGAAAATACTCACCTAGACTATGTAACTGTGGTTCTCCTAGGTACATCCTATAACAAATAACGTAGGAGTCTGGGCCTTGTCTCCTGGACAATTTGTAGGCTGGTGTTATCCTCGTGATGGAGACCAAGGACTTGAGCAGGGTTCCCATTCTGTTGTAGATGGTGTAAGTGACCCGGAGAGTGGAGTCCTTCTGGTCGGCCAGGACGCCCAGGCACCAGGTCTCCAACGTCATGGTGTCGCCCTCGACCGTTCGCAATGAGATTTCCACGCAGAACGGAAGCTGGGAGCATGACATCACCTCACCGCACACGCTCAGTGCTTTCTTCGTCTCGCTCTGAACCTCCGGCAAATCCTTGATGGCCAGATTGAACTGCGCAAAAACAAGAGAACACACAAATCAAATAATATCCTTTCAAAATAAATACAAAATTAGACAGAGCAGGGGAGATAATAGGACTGAATCGGCCCGAAGAGAGGGAGGACAGTTTTGCTGTGCTAAGACAGAACACCGTATGAACATTTGAGAGTTGCCAAATTTCCTGCGGTAAAATGTTTATTTTTGAGGAAAATTATGAACATTTTTCCTTGAAATTTTCGGACACTTCAGATCAAATCACGAACGAAATTGTCTGAGAAATTGGTAGAAAAATATTAAAAAATTGTCCTGAAAATTAGTGACTTACCAGAAGAAATTTGGCAACGTCTGAGGGCTCATACGACGTTTCACCTTAGCATGGCAGAGTTGGTGAGGTTGTAATTCTAAAATGTTGTTGGGAATAGCCGAGATGAAAAAGGCTTATAATTTATACGATACCAGTGAATTTAGAAATTCATTACTACACAAACAGTGCAGTCACAGTAATTTTTGAAAACGGAAATAATTTATTTACTGGAGTTTTAGTGGTAAGAGTGGGTACCATGCTCATCGAGTCTCGGGCGTATATCGACGGTGAAACTACCAAACCACGTATCTCGGTTTGCGACGTCGCAGACTTCCTGTCATACTTTATTTTTTAAATGAAAAACTACTTAACGTCCAGTCTTGAAAATTTCTGTGATTTTTCCTCTTCGTGCGGAGAAAATTCTGTGAAAATTTCAAGGAATGATATTGATTTGGTCTACCTCAAAAAAATAAAATGCGAGCGTAGATTTTTAAACACCGCAAACGAGATACGTGGTTTGGTAGTTTCACCGTCGATATCCAAAACAGGGTATCTAGATTTCTTTATTTTTTCGTTCCCTTGTATTTGTCTCATTTCTGAGGAAAATTCCCTGGTGAATAAGACTGGGGTTTCCTCTCATTTCCATTGCAAATTCGGTTGGTAAACTGGATTTTCATCAGGAGGATAAAATTATCTTCATCATTTTGGTCTAATTCTTAGAAGCCAGGGCAACAATGACCACCAATATGAACAAAAAAAAAAAATTGATTTCGGAGCGCGGGCGGAGAGAGAAGAGAATCCCACTTTTAAGAACCGAATTCCTTGATTTTCCAGGATATTTTACGTGATGCACCTCGGCATTTCTCGGTCTAGAGACACCCTGTTTGAAAAACAACAGTGGCGTGGCGTGAATTGCGATATATCGATTGTTGTGCCATTTAAACCCATGAAAATAGATCGATTATCAGGGTGTTCGCAGCGAACACCTTAGTAATCGATTCTTTGCCATAGCTTCAAATGGCGAGATATCGATAATCGATTATTCACGCCACGCCACTGAAAAACAACACATGTCCCGTTGGTTTCCCCTGCGAGACAGTGGTACCTCATTGCAAGAAAAGTTAACTTTAGAACAAAGTGATAAAATAGTGGTGGGTCCACAATATTTTGCACGGAGAACCAGGCCAAAAAAGTTCAGAATTTCGAATAGAGTCAAACATTTTGAGCTCAAATGCGTAACAGTACGAGACGGGGATTTACGACTCCAATTGAAATGTTTTGGTTGTTCCCCCGCAAAATAGTGTGGACCCACCACTATTTCACCACCTCGTTCATACAGTTCGGGCCACGTTTCTTAGTGTTTCATTTCTTGTTAATTTTAAAAGACGCTCGCTTGGTGAATGTTTCAGTGTAGGCTCTCTTAAATCGCGCGGACAGCAGTGGCGTGGCGTGCTTTGCGATATATCGATTGATCTACCATTTAAACCTGTGGAAAAGGGTCGATTATCAGGGTGTTCGCAACGAGCACCTTAATAATCGATGCTTTACCACAGCTTCAAATGGGGAAATATCGATATATATCGAGGCACGCCGAAGTGGCCGCGGCCGGTAGACGAGGATGATCCTAGCCCGCACGAAGGGTAACGTTGCATGGTGGCAACGATCATGGTGTCAACAAACCAAAAATCTGATCATGGAGTCAACGATTGTTGACGTCGTGATCAGGCAGTAAAACGCAAAAATGGGCCCTGAGCATGGTGTCAACGACCACGGTGTCAACAAACAGAAAAATATATTCCCTGTGAGTAAAATTAAAAAATTAAGTGTACAGGAGAGGTCTGGGTCACGTATAGTTGGATTAGGTTAGGTTAGGTTAGGTTAGGTTAGGTTAGGTTAGAGAGAATAACACATGAAAAACAAGACTTGAGATTTAAAAGGTGTTATTGAGGCAAGTTTTAAGTTTCGTTGACGTCGTGATCGTTGACACCGTGATCATTTTTCATGAGGGTCAGAATTTTTTATTTTTGGATGATCATGGTGTCAACAAAAACTTAGAAAAACTGTTTGTTGACACCATGATCGTTGACACCATGCTACGTAATCG